TATGCTTTAAAAAAAATCATACATGAAACCAAATACAAATTTATTCATGTTACAGCACATAAAAAAACTAATTTCTGCTTTTGCCTGTGAACTTATTAAACCATAAAGCTGGAGGCCTAAAGTCGCAAAAAAGCATACACTGTCTCTTTTATACACATAGATTGGCTGAAATTGCCTTTGTTAGAGAATGTACACACAAGGCAGGCTCACTGCTAAAAGCCTTGCTGTGGAAAGTGCTGTAGCCAACAGTGATTGATCATAACTTGGAGCAGATAGTCAGGAGTCTAATGTGAAGCCTCGGGGCATCATAATGCCTTAAAAGGCCACAGAGGCACAGGACACCTGACCACCCTGCTCAGCGTGGACCAATCAGACAGCTGGTGAATGGCTTTGGCATTACGTCATGCAGGCCCGCAGTTTGTCTTGACCAACGCACTGCGGATAAAACAGAAGCTTTAAATATTTCATTGAGGATCTCAGGTTGCTGGACTTCTGGAGGTCAGGGCTGTGTGGAGACAAAGCCTCGCCCTCTTCTCCCAAGCTGCATCCTCCTCCTTTTCTGATGCAGGAACAGGGTGTCGGGCTTTAGGAAGGGGTTGAACAATACTTCTTAGCCATATTGCATAAAATAAAGCATATAGTGTGTGGGCCTGTCATCATTTGTCATCAAAGCTGCTGTTGCTTGGAATGCCCAAATTCAGATTTAAACTAATACATCCTAATTACAAGACATGCAGATATGCTGCTACAAGATGTCAGATTTTCACCCTGCCAATTTTATACATAAAGGTGACATTATTCATCACTATTACTCATAACCTTGACAAATGTCACCTTTTAGTTTGGACTTCGGATTTTCATGTTTTACAGACTGTGGGTGTGTTTAAAAGATAAGGTTTCTAACATGCAAAGATGGCAAAATGAGAGACACAAGTCAGTTTTAGGAGCTTTTGTTTTTCAAGATTTACTCAAACTACAGATTACGAGTCAGGTCAGCTTCTGTTGCCCTTTTTTTTCTTTTCTTTTTAAATCTTTAAATCTGTAATGTATCTGAAGTGCAGTAGCCTACTAATTTGCTGCAGAACTTCTTGATAACATTCAGGATGTGGAAGACCTGGCTGCTCACCAGGTCTTCCCTTATTACATCAATCTTTGTGTGGCAGAATCTTTTTCATGTTTTCTGGCTGTGCTGGCACACAAACCACGATCTGTTGATCACCCGACTGACATTCCAGGCCAAGATGAAGACCCTCTAGGGCTCC